TCATCATTATTACCATCATCATTATTACCATTATTATTATTATTATTATTATTATTATTATTATTATTATTATTATTATTATTATTATTATTATTATTATTATTATTATTACTGAAAAAAGTAACCAGAGTTGAAAAAAAAAAATAACGAGAATATATGTTTCCGCCCGGGATCGAACCGGGGACCTTGCGCGTGTGAAGCGCACGTGATAACCACTACACTACGGAAACTCTTGAGAAATGAACTGATTTAAATATGTGATTCTTATTAAATTATTGTTGTTTGTTGTTTGAGTTTTGTGTTTTCACGGGTCTGGTTTTCTTTTCTTTTAATTCTCTTCTCTTCTCTTCTTTCCTCTTATCTATTCTTCTCTGCTCTTCTCTTCGTTTCTCTTCTCTTCTCGCTTTTCTTCTTTTCTCTCCTTCTCTTTACTCCACTCCTCTCCTCTTCTCTTCTCTCCTCTTCTCTCCCCTCTTCTCTCCTCTCCTCTCCTCTCCTCTTCTCTTCTCTCCTCTTCTCTCCCTCTTCTTCTCCTCTCCTCTCCTCTCTTCTCTCTCTCCTCTCCTCTCCTCTCCTCTCCTCTCCTCTCTTTTTTTCTTCTCTCCTCTCCCCTCTCCTCTTATCCTCTTCTCTCCTCTTCTCTCCTCTCCTCCCCCCTCTTCTCCTCTCCTTTTCACTCCTCTCCTCTCCTCTCCTCTCCTCATCTCTTCTCTCCTCTCCCCTCTTCTCCTCGCCTCTCCTTTTCTTTTCTTTTCTTTTCTTTTCTTTCTTTCTTTATTGTATTTGAAACAGAATCATGCTTGGGCAGAGAAAACAAATAAATGAATAAGGAAATTATAAATAGATAAGAAAATGGTCGATTAACTAAACAAATTGGTTAATATTTGAGTCAGTTAATTAAAAGGACATTTAAGTCAATTAATCAAATGAATATTTAATAGGGTCGCTTAATAACACAGATATTCAAAACGGTTAGGTTAATCAAACATAAAGATTTAACTCGTCTGATAAAGCAGTCAAGTCGGTTAGATTAACAAATCAAGTCAGTTTAATAAAGAAATTGAAGATGCTGGATAAAAATTATGTATAAGTCAAAACTGAGGTGAAATACACACACGCCACATATTAATACATGTATTGATATTAGTACACGTATTAATCATTGATATTAGTACTCGTATTAATCATTAATATTAATACACGTATTAACCATTAATGTTAGTACACATATTAATCATAAATGTTAGCAAAAATATCAGTCATTCATACTAGTACACATATTAACTGTTGATATTAGTACACACATTAACTATTGATATTAGTACACACATTAAGTATTGATATTAGTATAATATCAACTATTGATATTAGTATAATATTAACTATTGATATTAGTATGCACATTAACTATTGATATTAATACACACATTAACTATTGATATTAGTTAATATTAACTATTGTATTAGTATGCACATTAACTATTGATATTAGTATGCACATTAACTATTGATATTAGTATAACATTAACTATTGATATTAATACACACATTAACTATTGATATTAGTATAATATTAACTATTGATATTAGTTTAATATTAACTATTGATATTAGTTTAATATTAACTATTGATATTAGTATAATATTAACTATTGATATTAGTTTAATATTAACTATTGATATTAGTATGCACATTAACTATTGATATTAATACACACATTAACTATTGATATTAGTATAATATTAACTATTGATATTAGTACACACATTAACTATTGATATTAGTATGCACATTAACTATTGATATTAGTATGCACATTAACTATTGATATTAGTATAATATTAACTATTGATATTAGTATAATATTAACTATTGATATTAGTATAATATTAACTATTGAACACACATTCTAATCACTCTTTCCTTCGCCTTCCAGTGTTCCAAGATGTCCACGTCATGATATTCATCGGTTTCGGATTCCTCATGACTTTCCTGAAGAAGTATGGATTTTCCTCCGTCGGCATCAACTTCCTGTTGGGCGCGACGTGCCTGGAATGGGCGCTCCTCGTCAATGGATTCTTCCACTTGCACTACAACACAATCATTATCGATCTCAATTCGTGAGTGGGGATTTATGAGTCGTATTTGAATGCTGGGTTAGTTGGGTAAATGGAGGGTGTGTTTAATTGCAATAGAAGGGTTTGAGGAAGTTGTTTGAAGTGATGGCAGAGACTTAAAAAAAAAAAAATAGATATATAGTTCATGTACATGCAGATATACCTATGTATGTATGCATATATACATAAAGATGCTTAGATAGATAGATTGATTGATAAAGATATAGATTTATGTATGTGTTTGTATATGCATGCCTGTATTATTAATATTTTAATACTATTATGATTACTATGATTACATTGTAATTATACTACTACTACTGTTATTTCAATCAGTATTATTATTATCATCATTATTATTTCCTATCATTATGGTCACTGTTGTTACTACTACGACTACTGTTCTAATTGTCTCTATCACAACTACTATGATCATTAATATTACTCTTCATTATCATCACTCCTCGCACAGTCTCCTAGCTGCCGATTTCACTGCCGCCGCGGTGCTCATTAGCTTCGGCGCCGTGTTAGGGAAGACGACGCCGACGCAGCTGATCATCATGGCCTTGATTGAGATTCCCATCTTCGTCATCAACGAGGTCATAGGCAGGCAGTATCTCGGGGTGCGTTGTCGTTGTCCTTTTGCCGTCGTTTTGTGGTTCTCTTGTAACTTGTCTTGAGAAAAAGGGGATAGTTATAAGTGCTATAAGTATTTCTTATTTGTGTTTATATGTAGGACAGGAAGTTATAAGTATTGTAAATGTTACGGATTGATAATGGCATATAGGAGAGAAATTATAAGCACTACAAATGCTTCAGATAGATATTGTCAGATGAGAAAGAAAATTATAAGAACGACAAATACTTCAGCTTCATTTTTTATATATAGGAAAGAAAAGACATTCCTCGTAAGTCAATAAAAAGGACTTTTTTTCATATACATATTTATTTATCCATTTACTCACATATAGAAAGAAAAAGAAAAAACTTTACCTCGTAGGCCTATGAAAGTGACTTATATGAACTTTCTTTTTCTTCTGTTTCCATTCAGGCTATTGACATGGGTGACTCCATGTTCGTCCACGCCTTCGGTGCCTACTTCGGGCTGGCGGTGAGCTTCGTTCTCTACCGCGACGACCACAGCACGGAGAAGGAAGGGTCGTCGTATAGGTCCGATCTGTTCGCTATGATCGGTGAGTGGTTTACGGTTCTCTGCTTCTCTCTGTGGATGACTGTGCTCGTATTTATATTTTTTCGTTTTTTTCCCCTTTTTCCCTTTCTCATTGCCTCCCTACCTCCCTGTCTTGATCTCCCTCTCTGTGCCTTTATTCTCCTCTGCCGTTATTCTGTTGTTTATTTACGTCGGTCCACCTCATCCCTGTGTTGTGATTGCAGGCACGGTCTTCCTGTGGTTGTACTGGCCCTCGTTCAACGGCGGGGCGGCCCCTGGAGACGACCAGCACCGTGCCGTCATCAACACCTACATGGCCCTCTGTTCGTGCACCCTGACCACCTTCGCTATCTCCTCCCTTGTCGACAAAGAAAAGAAATTCAATATGGTAAGGATTTTTTATGTGTGTATATATATATATATATATATGTGTGTGTGTGTGTGTGTGTGTGTGTGTGTGTGTGTGTGTGTGTGTGTATGTGTGTGTGTGTGTATGTGTGTGTATGTGTATAAATATATATTAAAACTTGTTTTAACTTGTTTTTCTTTTATTTTGGTTTGGTTTAAATATTTTTTTTGCATAATTTTCTTTTTGAAAGAAGAAAGTTTACTATTTGCATTGATTTTAGATTGTTTTAGATACGAGATACTCATCCCATTTTTTCTCTCCTTTATCCAACATACAAACAAAGACTAATCGTATTTTCGCGACACAGTGTCTATACCCAAACGTTTGTGTTCCTCAGGTGCACATTCAGAACAGCACCCTGGCCGGAGGTGTGGCCGTTGGAACAGCAGCCGACCTCATGATCCATCCTTGGGGCGCCGTCCTTATTGGAATGCTCGCAGCCATCATTTCGGTCCTTGGCTATACTTATCTCACGGTAAGAATTTCGAGCGTTTGTCCGGTTATACGCAGGATTAATGGGAAAATTACGGACTTACTGGTGTGAATGTTTATGGGTCGCTAGCCCATGGCCCAGGAAATTGTTAATTTTAGTTTGGTGGGGATCCTTTTCAGCATCTGGGTCTAGGTTGGAATCTGATTTTTCACTAGTGCGATCTGTCATAGAAAATAAGGTTTTTGCAACGGGAGGACATTCGTTTCATTCAAAAGTATCGTACATTTACATATTTCGAAGCTGTTTCTTTCATCTCTTTCTCACCATGAATATGCACACACACACACGCACACACACACACACACACACACACACACACACACGCACACACACACACACACACACACACACACACACACACACACACACACACATACACACACACACACACACACATATATATATACATACGTATATATACATACATATAACTTCTTTTTAAAAAAACCCGAGGACTAGTACCGACCCCCTCTTTCGCCGCAGCCTTTCCTGGCCTCCCGCCTCCGGATCCACGACACCTGCGGCGTTCACAACCTCCACGGAATGCCTGCGATCCTGGCGGCCGTCGTGGGCTGCGTCGCCGCCGGCTTCGCCTCCGAGGAGACCTATGGGCCCAGGTGAGGCAGGGGGGGGGTGTTAGAAGGACAGGAAGGGCGTAAGGAAAGTGGCAGGGGTGAGGGTGTATTTTTAGATTTAGGGGATATTTTTTTCATATTTTGTGGCAGGGTTTTGTATTATGCTTTTCTGACTTTTTTTTAAATTGATGGATATGGCGTTGTGTGTGTGTGTGTGTGTGTGTGTGTGTGTGTGTGTGTGTGTGTGTGTGTGTGTGTGTGTGTGTGGGTGGGTGGGTGTGCGTGTGGGTGTACGTGTGTGTGTACGTGTGTGTGTGTGTGTGTGTGTGTGTGTGTGTGTGTGTGTGTGTGTGTGTGGGTGGGTGGGTGTGCGTGTGGGTGTACGTGTGTGTGTACGTGTGTGTGTGTGTGTGCATGTGTGTGTACTCTGCTTGCACATTTTCGCGCGTGTGTGTGTATTTATAAGTGTAGGAACGTGCATGAGTGCATGTACATGCTCTTAACCAGATTACCCACACTGTCCCCACTCCAACGAACTCCTCCGCCCTCCCACAGCCTGTACGAAATCTTCCCGAACCGCGCTCCTGAAGAAGGCACTGAGGAATTAGAGCGCCTCCAGACCATCCTTCCCGATCTGGCGGCCGGCTCAGGCTACTCGGCAGGAGGCCAAGCAGGGAACCAGATCCTCGCTCTCCTCATCACGCTGGTCATCGCCGTCATAGGAGGGGTCATCACAGGTCGGGATTTTCGAGTTCCAGTCGTTGCTCTTATCAGTTTCTATTTTTTTTTGTCTCTATCTCTCTCTCTCTCTTTTTCGGCCTCTTTGTTTGTTCTTTTTTCCAGAGTGTTTTGCGGAAAATCAACTCTTCTACAAGATTGTTTGTCATGTTTTATTGTCGTGTTGTTCATCCTGTTGAATTATTCAACATGTAAAATATACTAATTATAATCACAACGTTCTCAATTGTACTAGATGTTATCATATAGTCTACTATCGCCGAGTACCCTCATTTACAACAGTTTTTTTTATTATTATTATACAATCAATTAACAATTTTCAGCTATACAGTTCTTATTATACTTTTTTTACGAACAAACAAGCATTGCACCTTTTCTCACAACAGCAATTTCCACCCCATTTCCCTCAGGCTCCCTCCTCAGGCCCGAAATCTGGGGAAGACTTCGCACAGACGATCTTTACGAAGACGAAAAATACTGGATAATTGAGGAGGAGGAAGAGGAACACCAGATGAGCAGCGTGCACATCCCTATGACGTCACCAGCTGATAACGGAACATCTAAGTAGAGAGAGAGAGAAAAAAAACACAAGTTGGATTTGTATCTTCGAAGCGCATATGTTGTTTTTTTTTGTTTTGTTTGTTTGTTTGTTTGTTTTTCCGTTTGAGGATACATAGGTAATAACAGGTGTGTGTGTGTTTGTGATACTTGGTTTGTGTATTGCGTGATATGTAGATATTTGTGTGTTTGTATGTGTGTGTGTGTGTGTGTGTGTGTGTGTGTGTGTGTGTGTGTGTGTGTATGTGTGTGTGTGTGCATATGGAAAAGAATGTTGAATTTGGTTTCATATTTTGATAGCAAAAAAGGGAATTTGACCTGATATTTTTTACATGGGAAGTTGATTGTTCAGTTTAGCTTCATCTTGAAAAAAAAAAAAAAAATTGACCTCCCTTTTTTACATAGGAAGTTGACTCTTAACTTTGGATTCATGCTTAAAAAAAAGTAATTTGACTTCTTGTTTGAATGTTGAATGTCACTTCGACGCTAACAAGATTAGAATATTAGTGTAGAAGTTAGTATATATCGTGAATTAATGGATCATAGTATAATTTTTCTGTAAAAATATGATTTGAATGATGATATATTGTGTGATAATGTGGATCTAATTAAATAAATAGTCATGGTGATGATAATGAACAATTTAATGGAGGAAAACTTTTAAATATACATTTATCTTCGGATATAAAACTACACTTCTGGAAATTTTAATGACTATAAATAAACTTACATATATGTATGAAAAAAAATATATAAGTGTGAGGTATCTTTACACGATGCTAAAATTATTAACCTAAATATTGGGACGGATTTTAAAGCATTAAGCAGATATACTCATAAATTTCTATGAAGTTAGATAACTTTACTTTTAAGGATAATGACTTTAATGTAATTTCGTTAGGGTAACGTGCCAGTATACTTTATATAAATTTTAGAGTATTTGCATCATTTTTTTTTCTCTTTTTTTTTTGCTCTTCAATTTATTATTAGAAATAGGTGTGGAAGACGTTTTAATTTTGATTTTTTGTAAGAATTATTCTGTGGTGTGATGGATGAGAGGATTGAATATTTTCTGATTTTTTTTATACTTGTGTGTGATTACTTTTGAATGGAAAATGTAAAAGACAGCAATGATTTTAGATAAATTACTAAGCTGTAAGCTTAACTTTGTTATGTGCAAATTATTTTTTTATTAAGTCAAATGAGCAGAATAATAATATCATAAGATTTATGATTCTATATTCGAGAAAACTGTACTTTTTAAACTGAACAAACGAAATATTATTTTTTATTTCTCTTTTTTCCCGGTAAACAAAAAACATACCAATATTGATATGTCTTTTTTTTAACTTTCCAGATTTAAACATACCTCCTTTTAGGTTATTCTATGAATCCATGTTTTTTTTCCGAAATAACCAAAGGAAGTGTTAATGCAGGATTACATACCAAGATATTTTGAAATAACCTTTTCACATGTAGGCCTATTAGTCATTCTCTAGATTTACTTGTATCTTTCTAAACCCAAATCAATAAAGATATAAATAAAGTGTTATTATCTTTCCTTGGTAAAAATCATGTCTTTTATTTAATTAATACATGTATAGACTGAGAATTCATGTTCTCTACATTTTATATATTAATATTTGTATTAATCCCAAAAAAATATTAACTACGGATTATTGGTCTCCAGTTTGGGACTGAAATAAAAATACTCGAAAAAAAATGAAGATAAACCCACAAATACTTTTCCACCGATGAAACAGAACAATGAAATGCATAATTTTCTTCTGTGTCAAAAATACATTCTCATTACAGCGGTAGAAAGAAAACCGCTATATGCTTGACTTATTTTCTTTATTGAGCTTTGCGAGAAGAGGTTTCATCTCATCTATCTGAGCACTGTATCTATTCGCTACGAGTACCTATTAAAGTTATTGATAAGGTTTCCCATCTACTTGAGAACTTTAATATACAGTTCTTATTATACTTTTTTTACGAACAAACAAGCATTGCACCTTTTCTCACAACAGCAATTTCCACCCCATTAAAAAAAAAAAAAAAATTGACCTCCCTTTTTTACATAGGAAGTTGACTCTTAACTTTGGATTCATGCTTAAAAAAAAGTAATTTGACTTCTTGTTTGAATGTTGAATGTCACTTCGACGCTAACAAGATTAGAATATTAGTGTAGAAGTTAGTATATATCGTGAATTAATGGATCATATTATAATTTTTCTGTAAAAATATGATTTGAATGATGATATATTGTGTGATAATGTGGATCTAATTAAATAAATAGTCATGGTGATGATGATGAACAATTTAATGGAGGAAAACTTTTAAATATGCATTTATCTTCGGATATAAAACTACACTTCTGGAAATTTTAATGACTATAAATAAACTTACATATATGTATGAAAAAAAATATATAAGTGTGAGGTATCTTTACACGATGCTAAAATTATTAACCTAAATATTGGGACGGATTTTAAAGCATTAAGCAGATATACTCATAAATTTCTATGAAGTTAGATAACTTTACTTTTAAGGATAATGACTTTAATGTAATTTCGTTAGGGTAACGTGCCAGTATACTTTATATAAATTTTAGAGTATTTGCATCATTCTTTTTTCTCTTTTTTTTTTTGCTCTTCAATTTATTATTAGAAATAGGTGTGGAAGACGTTTTAATTTTGATTTTTTGTAAGAATTATTCTGTGGTGTGATGGATGAGAGGATTGAATATTTTCTGATTTTTTTTATACTTGTGTGTGATTACTTTTGAATGGAAAATGTAAAAGACAGCAATGATTTTAGATAAATTACTAAGCTGTAAGCTTAACTTTGTTATGTGCAAATTATTTTTTTATTAAGTCAAATGAGCAGAATAATAATATCATAAGATTTATGATTCTATATTCGAGAAAACTGTACTTTTTAAACTGAACACACGAAATATTATTTTTTATTTCTCTTTTTTTCCCGGTAAACAAAAAACATACCAATATTGATATGTCTTTTTTTTAACTTTCCAGATTTAAACATACCTCCTTTTAGGTTATTCTATGAATCCATTTTTTTTTTTCCGAAATAACCAAAGGAAGTGTTAATGCAGGATTACATACCCAAGATATTTTGAAATAACCTTTTCACATGTAGGCCTATTAGTCATTCTCTAGATTTACTTGTATCTTTCTAAACCCAAATCAATAAAGATATAAATAAAGTGTTATTATCTTTCCTTGGTAAAAATCATGTCTTTTATTTAATTAATACATATATGGACTGAGAATTCATGTTCTCTACATTTTATATATTAATTAATTTATGTATTAATCCCATAAAATATTAACTACGGATTATTGGTCTCCAGTTTGGGACTGAAATAAAAATACTCGAAAAAAAATTGAAGATAAACCCACAAATACTTTTCCACCGATGAAACAGAACAATGAAATGCATAATTTTCTTCTGTGTCAAAAATACATTATCATTACAGCGGTAAAAAGAAAACCGCTATATGCGTGACTTATTTTCTTTATTGAGCTTTGCGAGAAGAGGTTTCATCTCATCTATCTGAGCACTGTATCTATTCGCTACGAGTACCTATTAAAGTTATTGATAAGGTTTCCCATCTACTTGAGAACTTTAATATCAAAATCACGACAAATGTTCAAAGACGAGTCATTTCATCTCCTAGAACCTACATGTATACTACCGATGGATAAATTATGTGTGTATCTGTTGATGATACATTTGCTATGTAAGAGGATACTGAAGCCACAAATCCATGTAAGAAAGAAGCTAAGATATATATTATTGATTTACTAGAGCAAAATACATTATGTAAAATATGTACAGCGCTTTCTATGAAAGAGGATACTGAAGCTACAAATCTAGGTTAAAAAGAGATTGAATCGCATGTCTATTGCCTTGGTAGAATAATGGAACATATGTACCCCTTTAAGAAGTACAGTTTCCTTTAGCTTCTAGTATCCGCTTTGTAGTCCTCTGCTCTTGCTGTATATACCCTTATCTCCAACAAGGCTTTTGTTATTTCTTGTAGATTATCCCTATCATTAAATTTAATTTTGTTATATGTAAGATGTTATTCACTCCTTTAGCTTTCTCGATCCAAACAAGTGTGAGCAAAATTAGTAGATATACTACCGTAAAAATGTTACGGGATATCAACCGACAGACTTGAAGGTTCTTGGTAATAGAATTGCATTATGAATTAGTAACTGTTGTTCAGTTACAGAGCGGGATTGGTCACACTATGGTGACCCTGATGGAGAAACGTCGTCCCAGAGAAGACCAAAGTGTCTACAATAATCTCTTGGATGAACTATGCATTGCAGATACTTTTGGATCTTATGAATATCACATATCGATTGAAATTTTCCTGGAAAGAAGACACATAACTTTCTTTCCAGTAGTATATACCGCTATTAGTGTAATCAGTACTGTACGAGATATAATTATGGGCTGATAAAAGCTAAAGTTGGGAGGAAGCAAATACTATAAATGAAATTGAGTTTATATTCGCAATTGCCGATCATGACACAGCTTTGCCAGTCGTACAGTTATACCTAGTGCAAAGTAAAGATTCTTGTTGATTTTTTTTCCTTTATTACCTTTATTATTTCTGCTATCATGATATTTGTGAATGGTATTCCATAATTGTTCTATGGCTCACACTTTGTCCACCAGAGCCTAACTAATGTTTGAATTGAACTCCATATCTTCAGCATGTTCGGATTGGGTGTGTGTTTGCAGTCCTTAAATCTTAGTGAGGCATCATTATAATATATATTACTTATTTCTACAGTACAGTTGTAATTAACATATAATAATCACTGTTTAGGCAATCAAGTAGTAAGCTTCCTAGTAATGTAATTATACTACAGTTTTTGTTTTGGCAACATCTGTCCCTCTCTAGCTGAGACGAAAGACCAACACAGCGGTCCCACTCTAGGCAGGGATTTCCATCTCGGTTCCCGTCACAGCTGGGGAAGTATCCCGCTCTGTAAAGAGATCTCTGATCAGAATAAACTAGTGTGACCGCCCGACATTTGAGATTAACACTTAAAAACTAATATGCTAATGAGGTATATTTTACTTCCTTCTGAATCTAAATAATACTGCATTCCTTCAGTAACGTTTTATGTAATCCTGCTGACAAAACAATAAATGATAGTAAAACGTAGCCTCTCGTAACGATAATGAAATATCTAAATGTTTATAATATATCTGCAAATGATACGACGGAATTTATTTTAAACAATACCAAGCACTTGTTTTCAATCTGTTGGATGTCCAATGCTATCTCTGTTATTTCTCCTCTCTCTCTCTCTCTCTCTCTCTCTCTCTCTCTCTCTCTCTCTCTCTCTCTCTCTCTCTCTCTCTCTCTCTCTCTCTCTCTTATTCTCCCTATCCTGTCTCACACTCACTCTCTTGCACTATAAGTATCTCTCTCTCTTTCTTTCTCCCTCTCTCTCTCTCTTGCACTATCAGTATCCCTCTCTCTTTCCTTCTCCCTATCTTCCCTCTCTCTCTCTCTCTCTCTCTCTCTCTCTCTCTCTCTCTCTCTCTCTCTCTCTCTCTCTCTCTCTCTCTCTCTCTCTCTATCTCTCTCTTGCACTATCAGTGTGACATTCGCCAAAGGGAACATCTGCCGCTGACCTGACCCCCAGGTGGCCAAGGGAAATATGATCAGTGTGCCCAGGCCCACTGACCTGACCCTCAGCTGCAGAGAGAGGTCAGCTCCAGGCTCTGGAGGCCGCTGCAGGCGGCCACGCCTTTCTTTAGCCACGCCTCTGTAGCTCCGCCCCTGGCTTCCAGTCACCGCTACTTATTCTCCAAGGATGACCCTGTCAAAGCAGAGTGTGCCTTGGTGCGGTCGAGGTCACGTCTGACCCGGGCTGGGCCGCCAGGCGACCCTCCAGCCGACCGCCCAATACCCAAGACGTCATCCCTTGTGTTTATTCACTGTGTGCTGAACTCTATAGAATAAAAGAGATTTAAGCCACTAAGCTTTTATACTCCCTGTCACCAATGTTTAGAGGTCCCTTTTATAACCCTTACAATCAGTATCTCTCTCTTTCCTTCCCCCTATCTTCCCTCTCTCTCTCTCTCTCTCTCTCTCTCTCTCTCTCTCTCTCTCTCTCTCTCTCTCTCTCTCTCTCTCTCTCTCTCTCTCTTGCACTATCAGTATCTCTCTCTCTCTTTCCTTCTCCCTATCTTCCCTCTCTCCCTCTCTCTCTCTCTCTCTCTTTATCTATCTATCTATCTCTATCTCTCCCTCTCTCTCTCTCTCTCTCCCTCTCTCTCTCTCTCTCTCTCTCTCTCTCTCTCTCTCTCTCTCTCTCTCTCTCTCTCTCTCTCTCTCTCTCTCTCTCTCTCTCTCTCTCTCTCTCTTTCAATAAGGTAGTG